ATCTCATTCGAAAATGTAAAGTAAATCTTTCTGACCCAGGCTTGGTTCCACGTTGCATTGACAGGAATGCCACCTTTACTTCTTTGGGCGATTAAGTGGTTAACCTCCCCGCCCTTCCCTCATTTTATTATCTCTCTCTCTTGGGCGATGAAAAGACGTGTAGACAGTCAGCAGCTTGCTGAGAAACACGGGGCAGCCAGTAAGCATTGCCGATATTTTATCACAGTTTGCCCGCATAGCCGAACACAACATCACTTCGAAGTGCGCCAAGAAAACAGATCGATGATGCGTAGGAAGCTGCTGCGCAGGTGGTATATATGGGGGCATGAAAGCATATAGCTGTGACTACCCGAAAATTACAAAATTTCCGCGATGTGCATGAAGATGAGCGGGGCGAAGGATCCGTCAATCCGTCTGTGCTGCCGTCTGTACGTTTGTTCTTGCTTCCGTCCATCCATGCGTCCAGCTGTAGGACCCTCTGTCCGTCTGTACGTGCGTCTGCCCGTGAGTCTGTCCATCCGTCAGTCCAACTAGTGAACGCTCCAAGTACCACTATCTTGCAATCTTTTTATGATATATTATTCACACAGAAGCACCGCCATACAGCAGAGATTCCATAGGCTAAACGAGAGGTGGCATGGCCAGACTAGAGGAGCGGCGCGCGCGTATTTTTTTACGGCCTGCACTTCGTGTCTAGTTTCAACCATTCGCCATCCCTAGCTCATGAATTGCGGCTCAACACTCGCTAAACCTTACTAAAACCAAGAAGGTTACGCCTAGAGAGTTAAACGTGGTAACCAGATAGTGCTCAAAGTGCATCCTTCTAATACTATTTTTTAAGTAAGCTATAAATTCTAGGAAAATTTTAGTGCAGACTAAGTCACCGATACTCTCCTCTGTAGGTTATTTACTCAGAAACAACTATCTTTTTATTTATGATTAACGAGCGTGAGTTTCCTCCTCAATTCAAATGAGCGCGCGCGTGCCGCTCCTCTAGTCCGGCTTTGGAGGTTGCCAGGTAGTAAAACGACGCACTACTACTACTACTACTACTACTACTACTACTACTACTACTACTACTACGACTATTTCTACTACTACTACATACATCACGGGCGCACGACCCACGGCTTAAGAAGCTTCGCCCTGAAAAAACGATTGCCTCGCATAGCATAGCACCTCAGAACGTGCACAACGCCACGCATCCTCTGCCAGGGCCCAGAGGCGAGGCGGCACTCAAGAGCTGGAAGCGTTCGCGCAGTTCACGCTGCCAAGCTCGCTTAAGGGAGACGGCGTTTCGGAGAGCAAGGCTATATATTTTTTATTGCCGTATCCGCCAGCTTCTCAGAAACGCGAAGACGAAGCGAATGCCCTTAAACAGAGCAGTGTAGACGCCACTGCGTTTTAAGCGTAACCATTCGTCTGGACCAGATGTAGCGATTGGCAAACGTATTGCACGTGACAAATCTTGGCAAAAGCACGCATCTTGAAGGACGCGCACATCAAAAGGTCATGGTTTCTCCGGAAAAGAAAATGGAATTTTGAGCTTTAAGGCCCGTATTCACAAACCAACCTTAACTTTACATGAACCTTTTCTTATCGATTTTAAGCCTTAATTGCGCATGATCAACAATGTAGGCCAGTATGCAAGAACCGATGAATTTGTTATCTTTAGCCTGTTACGATTTCTGTGTCTTTGTAACGCACTCAGAGTGTTCAGGAACTTGAGGAAAACTTGAGGTAAGTCCAAGGTTGGTTTGTAAATACGGGCCTAAAGGAATCGGGCGATCGTCGGAGATATACACAGGAGAAGGTAGGATCGGCGGAACATGTATCGATTGGAGACAAACGCCTCTAAGGCACGTGGAATATAAGCCCAGCCGAGTATGCTGAAGGATGGTTTGCGACGCCATGTTCAATTCTTCCGTGCATGAAGTTTTGCCCATTCGGCAATGAAAAGTGATGGACGAGGCGTCGCAACTCACGTTAATTCCGAACATAACAACCCCAGCCAGGCTCTTGTTCATCGCTTCACGTATTCAGCACACAGTTTTAAGTTTCAAATCAGAATTACGTGATGACTTCGAGAAAAAAACATGAATATAACGAAAAAAACATTTGAGTGTGAAGCTTGTGCAGGCGAATACACACATAGTATCCTTAATTGAAAAGAAAAGTATGCTTTATAAATACAGCCTATAGCTAGGATTCTACCGTCGCTGTCATGAAAAAGTGGTCACCCCTAAATAAAGCCCTATTGAATATAACAGTGCCTACTCCCGGTAAACAAGTCGTAGCAACAAAAAACAGCAATCAGAGTCAAGCCTTTGTTTGAAAGCTCGAACGTCAGATAGCGAAAAAAAAGTTTCCTGCAGGCTCAAAATGTTGCAATTTGCGATATGGGCTACATTTATCACCTCGGCTTGCTTTGCCGTGCTGCGAAAATCTTGAACCTTCAATGAAATAGCATTCACTAAAGTATCCATCATAAACTCTCAAGACTAACCTGTAGGCTAGACGATGCCCAGTTCTGATAAACGCGGGAGCGGGTGCCCCGTGAATGGCTTATTGACTTCTTACTACCATGCGACCCACCGGACACACGGGGCTTCCTCCGGGGTCGCGTTGAAGACCTCAGGGGACTTCTCTCTCTGCTGGGGACCTCTGAGCCACTGCTGTGCTCCGGCAGTGCTTGGTGCAGAGGCTCCTCAACGAAGACGGTGCATATGCGTCGAAATTGTCCCGGCTGATATCGCCTGGAGTCGTCTCGCTCGTGGTGCTGTTTGATTCCTCGTAAATGGAAGCTTTGTCAGCTGGGAACAAAGTTTCCTCAATGAGAGGTAGACTATCATAGAACTGGGCCGCCATGGGGCCAAGGTCAGATATCGCGTCGCCATCTGCAACGCGTTTGCCGAGAGGCGCCCTCGAGACGCTTTCGCCCAGAGGCGACGGCTCGACCGGCGGTTCTGTGAGAATAACCACTGGTCACGGCCCACTGGATGGATCCTCCAGACCTTGAGGGACTGTCTGGCCCAGGCTGGCTGGAGACGCAGTGGGCGTTTGTTATGGCGTCTGGTGTGGCATCGCAATCTGCCCAACGTGGTCTTGGCTGATATCCGGGGCTGGCTACGACAAGGCGTCGTCCTTGTCCTTGGACTGCATTTTGGGTTAAAGCGGCGGGTAATTCTTAGATGCCATTCCCAATACGATGGCGTGATTATGTAGGTGACAGTGGGATGCGGGTCCCCACAGCGGCGACACGGCAGCGAACAGCCTTTCCCGTCGTGTCCTTAAACGCCGCACCTTCCACAAAATGGAGCTTTGCAATTCATGCGAAAGTACTCACTGGCTCCACATCGATAGCACACCCGCCGTATCCCTTTAGAGTCGCAGGTTACTCGATGGCCTGTGACCTTGAAGCAGGTTGGTACAGGCGATGACAATATTGTCCTAGTGGTCACAGTTGGGCGCGAACCCGTAAGTCATCTGTTGAAGTGCAACACCATCCCGTAGGTGGACAATAATAGTGCTCTGGGGACGTGGCACAGCAAGAACAGAACGGTGACTTGAGTCACTTGAGGCCCCAAGAGCTCGACACCAACGTGCTCTCCTCTGATGATGAGGTATGACGCGTGGATGATGTTAGCCAAAGTGGGTTCACTGTTGACAGCCTGCTGTTAGAAGAGAAGCTGTTAAGTCCCGGCAACAAAAGATCGACGAAAACTCGTGAAACCAGAAGGGTCCACTGGCAAAAATAAAACTGGAACTCACCTTGTACGAAGCAAAAACAAACATATATATATTGACCTCAAGTTCTCCCTATGGGTCCCTTTTTCACAATCAAGAGCATGCAAGAGGGTATGACTATTTATAAAATCCATGGCGCACGGTGCGCATGAGGGATCACCCGTGTCCGGTTTATCGCGTTTTCAATTGTTTGAATGCGCAGTAATTCTAAAGGTAACCGTCTTGATAGGTGCTTCTTTGTCGCAATTATGCTCGCACAAACCCAGTCGATGATGCGGTTAATGTTTAAATGGTGATTCGCCAAGGCGTTCTAGCTGCCCTTGCCTTCCTTGATATTATTCTGATGCTGCTGAATTATTCTTTTAGGATTTACAGCTCATCTATGTAGGATGCGTCACAATCTTTCCATGGTATACAGATCATGTGCTAGAATAAACGTATACTTTTCACTTGATATATTGGTGTTGATTTTATTATTGAATCGAGCGATACGAATTATTCGCAAATCTCAATATGATGAAACAACAATGTTGTTTTTTTTGGGGGGGCATAAAGGTAGTTTTTGTCATCAGTATTGCCAAAATGAAGGAGGTATAAGGGGGGTGGGATAAAGATAGTTTTTGCCATCAGTATTGCAAAATGAAGGAAGTGTACTAGTATTTGTATTCTTGTATCCGTATTCTGCACATGTATTCAAAATGGAATACATTTTCGTTTTTTTTCTGCAAAAAAGTTTCTGAATTCACTTTTTCTGCAAATGTGTCTCAGCAGCTTTATTTCAGTAGTCCAGTGCATGTATTTCGAATCGAATAATCCAGCATCCTTTTCTGCGTATTCCTTCCTATTCTTTCCCCAGCACAAGGTACCAAACGGGAAATTTTTTTTTGTTTAACCTTCTTCTTTTTCACTAAACTTTATCCCACTCCTCTCTCTCTTCCCAGCCCTGAGTAAAACCAGGTGAAGGTGATGTCAGAAGTGACGCAACGTTGGAGTGGTTTTCCAGTAAGACTTCCTAGCAAGTGCTAGTGTGATGTTGCAGCTTAACAAAAGTGAATGCGGTTGTAGTTTTACATCGCTTTAATTGTTGAACTGACCTTATTCTTTCATATTCGCTAATATTAAATAGGTAACCAAACGAGTTTGAGGAGCTTACAACATACCAACACTTCCTATCCTCGTAAACACAACACAGACACTCACAAGCACAACAGTACTTAACCTCGTAAAAATATATACAGAAATGTGGAGCGCATGTTTTTTTTATTTAGGTTTCAGAATGGCGAAGCTTCAACTCCATGCGCTTCTGTTGAAGACAGGCTTCATGATGTGCTGGCACTGAGGAGTATAAACTGTGCGGTGCTTGTGTCTTTGGTGCTGATAAAAGTATGTCGTGCAAAGTGCACTTATACCGCTCACAGTAACATTCCACACCCGAAGCTCCAGCCACATACCTATTACAAATAATACAAATTGCTATCAAAAGGCTGCACCAAACACGGTCCGAAAAAATGCCACAAATCTTCGGGCAAGGCGTACGAGTGCGAAGAAAAAAAAATAACCTTTTCGCACGACTTAAAAATCAGTATATTGTACTTACTCTTATTGTAAAAGATCACATCAGGTGTGGGTTAAAAAATTACCTATTCCGCAATGTCAAAATCATGCTGATCTTGGAAGGTTGGCTAAAAATTCTAGTTCATTACATATTTTTTATACCAGCTTGACGAATAAACGTATGCGTAGTCTCTAGAACGTCTTTTTAACGACTGCTGTCTGACCCTAGGTTCTGAACTTAACAAGACCAATGAAAAGTGGGTGACTTTCTAAGACCCTGCATTTTAAAATGTGTGGAACTTGTCTATTTTGAAGTTTTTGTAAGCAAAATGCGTTCAGGGCTTTTGGTTGAAAACAATTTATGTATCAGAATCACAGGGTGAATAGCATTGGATTAGTATATGACTCTAGTAATCTCTGTCCTGCAATACCTATAGGTAACCATTCACTAAAGAAATTAACGCAGCGTCACGCTAATTGTGCCACACAATTGTGCCGAACAATTGTGCCACACAGTTAGCGTAACACCGTGATCAATCTTTTTTCTCAGCTTTTTTGAAAATTTGCTTTTTTCTTTTCTTTCTCGTTTTGTTTACTGGGTTCAGTATTTTTGTAGTCTATTTTTCATTTACATTTTCCCCTATTTTTTGTCCCACTTGCTTTCTTTTGCATTTTGCACACGTTGTTCGTGTTGTCACCTTTCTCCAGCCACATGAGTATTGCCTGCATTCAATATCATCATCGAAACGCTCAAAGAAGAGAAGCAAGAAGGCCTCTTTCGCTGCGAGCGCATGGTCAGTGTGCTACAGCTGGCTATGCTGTATTTAGTTTTGCCTCTGTTATGACATCGACAGCATACTAATTGATTGTTTGGTGTTGCGGTAGTGTGCCAACATTCGATATATATATATATATATATATGTATATATATATATTGGGAGTACGCACTGACGTTGCTGCGTGCGGGTGCCATTTCGTAGTATACAATATGCATGCACTTAGAAAGGTATGCTTTTTTATGTTAATCTGCTTATCTTCAGAATAGCTGGAAGTTACCGAGTGTTAGTACAAAACGGCGCGTGATGTCTTCACGTTAATATCTCCTATAAAAAGAGCAGGTCATACAAAAAAAGATGTTAGAAAGAAGAAACAAAGTATGGCAAGCTTTAGCGTATGAAGAAAGTACGTGATTCTAATAAGCAAGACACATTATTACAAATAAGGCTGTTAACAATGTTGACCACCTGAAACATAAAATTCCGGAGAATGAAAACCATCGCTGAACCTTAGAGACGCCATCGGATGGGGTCTGTGCTGCTTTATTGAATGAGATCACTCACGGGGCCATAACGGTGTTGCTGGCGGCATAAGTATGCATGCGACAGCTTTATACCGCCAAGTATGCTATAAGAAATTCTTTCATTCGTGTAATTAAACAGGTCTGTTTGCACAATTTGCTGTTCATTAACACACTAAACGACAGCGCTATACACAGACGGCTTGGTTTTCTTTTCATACCCTCCACTCTGCAAAGCTATTACATAAGTTTTTAATTAGAGCTTCGTTTTTTTTATTCGGAAATATGCTTTTCAGTACAAGTCATTATTTAGAATTGGCTGCCCATAAATTATGTCAACAAATATAGAAGATATATTTACTTTTTACTTATATGTTTAATAGTCTGTGCGATTAGCTCCTGCTGCATCTCAATTAGTTGCCTTGAATACTCAACTGGAAAATGCACTCCCCAGTCATCATCTCATAAGGAAATATCTTTTTTAAAGACTTAAGCCTTATATTTTTATTTGGCGGCTGACTTTGAAAGAAACAAGATACCGCCGTTTGCATCAACACGGTTGTTACGAAAAATTGTGTGACCTTTCAGCGGCTCGAAGACCGTGAGCGCGACTTCATTCCGTCAGCAAAACCGTGAAGCCGGAATGGTGAAGAATTATTATGGTCCTGGATAATGCAGTTCAATTTAAAAGTATGTTTATCTGTAGACCTGTTGTAGTTATTGGTTCGAATACTCGCCGCAGTCTCCCAAACGCGTGATTGTAGCACTCGAAAAAAAAAAAGTGGTCATACAGACACAAGACGTGGAAAAAAATGATGTGTGCCCACCTCACAGGTTCAACCTTAAGTCATCACAGCGTGATATTGTGACTCAAAAGAATTTGCGTCTGATGTTCTATCTAACTCTACATAAACGTACATTATGTCATGGGGCGCTATTATATATTCAGTTGCTGCGCGAAACCTACAATCGATGAGTCTTTACCCAGAAAGCTAGTACCAGTCATAAATGCCTCATAGTAGTCATACAAAAGAAATAGCGAGAACGTTTTAGATTATCGAGACAGGTGGTTTGCCTCGTTTTTTTTTGTAGTATGGCGGACAAAAACAAGAGGTGTGTCGTTTTCTGTACTCAAAGCATGGCTTATGCATATTTTTAAATGGCTATGTGCTTTAACAGCAGTATTTTCCTAAGTGGAATATCTAGTCAGCGCCGACTTCGCAAAGCAGTAATACAGGGTAAATGCAGCATTGATAGTGTAGAAAGACGAAAATGAGATCTGTAATTAAGGATTGTGTATTCTGCAAAGTATGTTTCTAAATCAAGCTTGTGAGGACGAATGAGCTCACATGTCGAACAGTGGAAGCTACGCACATGTGCTTTGCTCAACAAACAACCGACAACATGGGGATTATTGTATGGCAGCGTAATTTTCGAATAGCTTACCGTACATTATTTCAAACAGGTTGCTGTTAGCCTTAAATAAAGCCAATAAATCAGTGCATACAGCCTTACTAACAAAATGAGAACTGCAGCGTATGCGAGAAAGGAATGAGAACGATACTAAAGACAACCACGAAGCATGGCATTGATAATACAGCAGAGCTTACTGAATGCCGAAAACTTGTGAATACTTACGTTCTCCTTTTTCCCTGATAATTTTAAACACACCACAGTTACCGAAATAGAACAATAATATATCCGAGCCAAATTCAAATGAAAAACCTGTAATTGTAAAGAGATAGAAACCAATATGCTAAATATTGCGAGTCATTTACCTACTTGACGGTGTATGACCATCTTTGTCGTTTTGCACACGACGCAAAGGTAGGCAAACTTTCCAACCATAGCGGTATCCCATTCTAGAATTTTGCACAAAGTCTCTGCCTAGAAACATCATATTCAAGTTGGCGTTTTATGGCTTAAACTATTCCCAGGCAACATTCTACTTTTGTCTTCCCACCGCTTTTCTCGTGTCTTGACTACATGTCTCGCCTTTCGAGGGTTGCCGCGTGTGCTGTGAATTTTATGGCCATTCTTAAGTGGTAACTGCCGGATTATGTACCTGTGCATCTTGTCCTCGTCTCCTAACCACGACAGGGTATTGACAATAAGACTGGCGGTTAATATAAAAGGACAATTTTTTCAACTAGAAGAAAGGGTGAATTTCTCAAAATTATATGACTTTACAAAGCATATAATCTAGTTCAAGCGCACCGGGACAGAGAGTCCTGTAGCGTTACTTTGCAGAAACAATGACGGAACGGGCCCGATTATTAGTAAAACGTGCATCGATTACGATGCGCCAGGCTAAATTCACTCAGCCGCCTATCGAGTTGTGGAAGCTGTATAGTACACACAATATTGCTGCTGACCAGTAGGCACACTGTATAGTGTGCCCTCCTATTATAGACCTTCAAGATATTCTCCTTTTACCTAAACGCCTAAACTCACACCATGCCCGCAAAAATGTTGTGTGATAGGATACACGTGCTCTTATCTCACCTTAAGCTCTCATCCCTCTGACCTTACTAGGGAAGATCATGCCGTACTTTTGCGGCTTTGGGCAGGGGTAGCCCTTCCACCAGCTGTTTTATCACCATAGAACTAACTGGTTGCATTTACCAGTAGGTAATACTGCCACATTAAATAAGCAGCGCCAAGAGAACAACGAAGAACACGCGCAGCGGGAGAAGAAGACGAGGTTCTCTTCCGATCAGTTTGCCAGTGTTCTGGTACAATTAAAGCGAGTTTCCTGGATTCGACTGCTGCTGTTTCTGCATTGTGACACTGGTGGAGGCGCTGGGTACATGTTCGGGACGCCTGACAACAGCCCCGCATCTGGTCAAGAAAGACTTCCGCGCATCGACACCCCCGTTCACCGCAGCAGCCGGCGCCTGTTAGGCCTCAGACCGGAGTTTGGTCCATTGCCGGAAAGCGTGACTGTGCCAGAAAGCATGACGGCGCCTGGAAGCACTGGCCCCAGCATGTCCAGCCCCAGCACGACACAGGTGACTGTTTTGAATCCTCGACTTCCGGTTGACTTCCACGGAAACGCATATGAAGATGCACATGACTGGCTCGAGGAATTCGAGCACACAGTGAATGTTAACGGTTGGAACACCACACAGAAATTGGGCTACGTTTATTTTCCGCTTCAAGACGGAGCCCGAACGTGGTTCACGAATCGCGTGTGGTCGTCTTGGGACGAGTTCCGTCAGAAGTTTCTCGACACGTTCGCGAGCACTGAAAGACGAGAAATTGCACAGCGTCTCCTCGAGTCACGGATTCAGAAACCAAATGAATCCGTTACGATGTTTGTTAAGGACATGGCGCGGCTATTTCGTCGAGCAGATCCTAATATGCCCGAAGCCAAAAAAGTTAGCCACCTCATGCGGGGCATTAAGGAGCAGCTGTTCGCTGGCCTCGTACGAAACCCACCTACAAGTGTGGATGAATTCTCCAAGGAGGCGACATCTATCGAACGCGCACTGCATCTACGTTATCGCCAGTATGACCGCCCAACCCACAGTGCACCGATCAGCGTGGCAGCCACTACCACAGCAACAACACCCGACGAAGGTTCTTTGCGCCAACTAATACGAGAAATCGTACAAGAAGAGGTCAAGAAGCTCGTCGCCAAACCGAACGACTGCGCGATCGCCTCAGTAACGGAAGTTGTACGCCAGGAGATCAGGCAAGCGCTCTCGCTTCCTGAGCCGAACACGAGCACTCCCAGGGCAAGCTATGCAGACGTAGTCCGCCGACAGCCAGCGAACGTGCTGACACCACATCAGTACCACCAGCAACATCCACCGACAACGCCTTGGTACTACAGAGAAACTTCGATGCCGAGGCGGCCACCACTTCGCAAAACAGACATCTGGCGTACCCCTGATCATAGGCCCCTGTGCTTTCACTGTGGGGAAGCAGGCCACATCGTTCGGTATTGCCCGTATCGCGCCGCAGGGTACCAAGGGTTTCCTTCTACGGTTCCTCGGCGCCATTTCAACGGAACACCTGACGTCGACACGAATGTCATGACCCCGCGGGATGTTCCTCCTGGGTTTCGGTCACGCTCACCCTCTCCTGGGCGTTATTCTCCATCTTCTAGACGGAGCACCACTGACATGCCAAGAGGGAGATCTCCTAGTCCACGCCGGGGAAACTAAAAGCAGCGACCTCGGGGGGGAAGGTTGCGAATCGTCGAAGTGCTGAAAATCCCCCATTACTGCCGAGCGAAGAGAGACACATTTTCAATGAATCGACGAAGGATAAGGTTGTTACTGCCGAAGTTGCAATTACGATTGACGGACATGACGTCATGGCATTGGTCGACACTGGCGCGGACTTCTCAATAATGAGTGGGAGTCTGGCAGACACGCTCAGGAAGGTTAGAATGGAATGGACAGGACCGCAGATTAGAGGAGCTGGAGGGCAGCTACTCACACCTACCGGAAAGTGCACCGCAAGAATGAAGATAGGGGATGCATCCTTCGTCGCAACTTTTGTTATCCTTTCTGAGTGTTGCAAACAGGCAATCTTGGGGATGGATTTCTTGCGGGAATATGGTGCCATCATAAATATTCCGGACGGTGTACTGACCTTTTCAGCGGATCAAAGCGCAGCGCTACACCGAAAATCCCTACGAGTCATTGACGATGTGACCGTACCTCCGTTGTCGTGCCGCCTTGTTTCAGTCACGTGCAGCGAGCAGAATACTGGAGAAGGAATCGCTGAACAAGTATTGACGCTCCTACTCTCTCGTGGTGTTGCAATTGCCAGAAGTATCGTCAATGTTGTGTGCGGTGAAGCAGAGGTTCTGTTGACGAATTTCACCAACGAGCGACGACACATTACACAAAGCACTACAGTTGCCTACTTCGACGAGATCACCGAAATCCGCGAGTGCTGTGTAGTACAACAGGACGAGCCGCAAGCCACGTCAGCCCCACCACCTATTGACGTAAGCTCGGATTTGTCACCAGCGCAGAGACAGCGTCTATTAGATCTTCTGCACCAGTTCAAAGACTGTTTTTCATCGACCTCGAGGGTCAGTCAAACGCCACTGACGAAACATCGGATAATAACGGAGGAGACGGCAAGGCCAATACGACAGAATCCATACCGCGTAGCACCGAAAGAGCGTGAAGCAATCCAAGAACAAGTGAAGAAAATGCTCGACGATGACGTCATCCAGCCGTCAAGAAGTCCTTGGGCGTCGCCGGTAGTGCTGGTTAAAAAGAAAGACGGAAGCTTGCGATTTTGTGTCGACTACCGCAAGCTGAACCGTGTGACAAAGAAAGACGTATACCCATTACCGCGCATCGATGATTCACTCGACAGGCTGAGGTATGCACGCTACTTTTCGTCAATGGACCTCAAAACTGGGTATTGGCAAATTGAGGTCGACGAGCGAGATAGAGAAAAAACGGCTTTTGTAACGCCTGACGGGCTTTATGAATTTAAAGTCTTGCCATTTGGATTGTGCTCAGCCCCCGCAACATTTCAGAGACTGATGGATACCGTTCTGTCAGGCCTCAAGTGGCAGACATGTCTGGTCTATCTGGACGACGTCATTGTTTTTTCAAAAACATTTGAGGAACACCTGAGCAGGCTGCTATCGGTATTCAGGGCAATAAGATCTGCCGGCCTGACACTGAAACCCGAGAAGTGTCACTTCGGTTTCAAGGAGCTTCAATTTTCAGGTCATGTGGTGAGCCATGAAGGTGTTCGACCTGATCCCGATAAGATTGCGGCCGTCAGAAAATTTCCGGTACCAAAAGACAAGAAAGCAGTCAGGCGTTTCCTTGGCCTATGCGCATACTACCGAAGGTTTATTGCCAATTTCTCCCACATAGCCTCGCCGTTAACACGACTCACAAGAGAAGACGTTTCGTTCACATGGGGCGACGATCAACAGGTGGCATTTGACGATCTCCGACAACGCCTGCAGACTCCCCCTGTGCTTGCTCACTTTGATGAGGATGCTCCTACCATGGTCCATACAGATGCCAGCAACGTGGGTTTAGGCGCTGTACTCGTCCAGTGGCAAGACTCAGCCGAGCGTGTGATCGCATATGCTAGTAGGACGCTTTCCCGCGCCGAGTCCAACTACTCTACAACGGAAAAAGAGTGTCTTGCTGTCGTATGGGCGGTTATGAAGTTTTGTCCGTACCTCTATGGTCGTTCCTTCCACGTAGTCAGCGACCATCATTCCCTCTGCTGGCTGACCAACTTGAAAGACCCGTCTGGTTGGCTCGCACGGTGGAGCTTACGCCTTCAAGAGTTTGATATGACGGTCGTGTATAAGTCCGGACGGCAGCACGCTGATGCCGATTGCTTATCAAGGTCACCGATAAAGCACGAGGATGACACAGACGATGAAAGCATGGCATTTGTAGGAGTCGTTGACACCACTACGATTTCGTGCAAGCAGAAAGAAGACAGTGAGTTGCTTCCTCTTATTGAATTTTTGAGTGGCCGGACAACAACAGTCCCTAGAAGATTTGCAAGGAGCCTGCCGTCATTCTGCTTACGTAGTGGTGTTCTCTATAAGAATAACTTTTCCCCCAGAGGAAGCACCCACTTACTTGTCGTTCCGACGTCACTTCGTGAGGAGATACTTTGTGCTTGCCACGATGAGCCAACGTCTGGTCATCTCGGATACACACGCACATTGGCAAGAATCCAACAGAAATACTACTGGCCAAGACTTCCAGCTA